GGGCATGTTACAACAAGTATGTTTACTACACGTTTTGATTGTCTGACGGCTTGTGTTAGTTGACCTGTTGGACTCCATTGGACTGAAAAGGCCTCAGAAAACTCCTCAGAAGTTGACTTTGAGGTCAAAATGGATAGAGGGCCTTGCTCTCAGCAGGATCCTTTTTTAGTTGCAGCAAGAAAAAAGTCCCAAGTTTTACAAAACATTTTTTCTTTGTTGTTGCACTTTTTACCCTTTTCTTGATGTGGAAAAGCTTGTACTCTGTGGTTAAAGCACCCACTTTGAAGTCAACCTTTCAAATGTCGTCTTAAGTTAAGACTCACAAACCAATTTTCAGTGGCAGCAGGTTATTTTAATCAAAATGGCTTTGCTGCTTATCCATCTTGCAGACTAATAAAGTTGGTGACTACACTTCATTTCATACTAGCTGGTGAACAAATCGGAGCATTTAGCATCAGATATTCTCTTCAGAGACTGGTGGAGACCAAAACAAAGCTAAAAGTGTAAATATTGATCAGGAAGAGAAACCCGACTAAATAAATGCTAATGCTGATTTTACCTGTAAGAAGTGTGAGTGATCTATTAGATAACATGTTTCCTATCAACTGTACATGGTAATAATAAATACAATTTCTTTTAAATGCTTTTTGTGCTAACCCAAAGTTGAGAAAATGGTTAAAAATAATGCATTCTGAAAAATGCAATTGCAACATGGTATACATGGTATCTACCCATTAATTCAACCAATGAAAGACATTCAAACGTTCCATTTTACTTATAAGAAGTGTAGTTTTCTGTGTTTAAAGCGTGTTAAGTTAAATCCTAAATGGTACGTAAAGAAGCTGACTTGAGGAAGAAACCATATTGGAGCACCTTTTTATTGCACAAGCATAGATATCTATTTTGGACAGTTTCAATTTCTTCAGATATTTTATTGTGAATATGGGATCCAGTTCAGCCTAGTGTCCCTGTTCAAACGAAGGTTAGCTGTTTGCAAAGAGGCAAGGAGGTGGACTGAATCCATAAAGTGTGTTTACCGCATCATTCAGATGCTGCTCCATCTGCTTTTTATCCACTAAATCAATTCTGTTGCTTTGTGCTGTTCAAGTTGAGAAAGGATGTATCTGATCTATGCTTCTCCTGCATGCCGTTAGCCTCCCAGAACCACATGCTGCTCGGCCTGTTAAGTCATTATCAGATCACTTCCTTTTCACATCCATATTGTGCTACATTCCTAGTGCAAAAATACTTTATGTGCATACAAGTTAGACTTTTTAATAGTTAATCTTCTAGAAAAGTATAAATACATTTGCACCAAGACTTTTTTATCAAAAACTGAATCAACCGATCACTGCTTTCTGCTTTACTGAATTCATTCATTTTAGTTCTGATGCTCTGGCTTCACAACCATTCTCCTCAAATTCAGCTTTTAAAACCAAAAAAAGACAACAATATAATAATAATAATAATAAATTCAATTCAATATCCAAAATATAAGATGATATCCAATCTTATATTTATATATTTGTCAGCTCTACATCAATATCGCAGACCATCTTGTTCTTTTAATTGTGGGAAACCAAAACAGGCTTAAGGCTTGAAGCCAAAACACTGAATTCCATTAAACATGCAGCCCATGTTCACTTGAAATTCATTACCTTACCTCAGAGTGACACCAGTTTTTAAAGAGTTCTGGCTTTAGTTAGTTGGTAAGAAAGTACTTATTAAGAGTTATGATTAATGATTAATAGATTGTATTTTCTGTCAGAGACAAACCGACTCCAGTTTGAGACGGCAGAGTCCTGTGGGTTCTGTGTTTCTACGCACCCAGCAGTCATCTCACAGCTCCATATTTTGGCTCCCAGACACTTCCCACAGTGGGTTGTCTAATCATGACAAATCGGGACTCGGCACAAAGAGTTCCTCATGTGTGTTTTCATTAGTTCCTGCGCGCTGACTGCTGCGGTGGCAGCGAGGAAACAAGACGTTACACCGGGGCATGTCTGATGCTTTGGCCTGTTTGTATCTGTGTCTGCTAATGAAGCAACTCGCTGCCATTGGATTGTTATTGTTCCACCGTTATTTATCACATAGTTTCTAGTTATAGTGTCTGGTTGTAGTTTGTTGTGACTGATTTGCCTTCTATCTTTTCGTAAGATAATATACACTTTTATAAATCCATGTAGGGATATTCAGGTGTCAACAATTGTAAAGGGGTAACACAGGATGATAAGAACATGTTTGTTTTTTTATTGTAAGTATCCGTATCAATTATAAGGTGATAATAGGTTTGTTTTGCAATTCCAAAGTACAAAATAATCCCCTCTACTGTATCTGCTCCACACAAAAATATGTAATTATGCTTAATCTCTTAATTAAGCACTTTAATGTTTTATTAACTTGCAAAATTGATAATGAACTTACAAATAAATGTCATGTGTGTGTACGCCTGTGTGTGTGTACGCCTGTGTGTGTGTACGTTGCTTCTTATTTTAGGTCACCTAATTAAGTGTAATGTTAACCTTAATAATGTGTAAGACATGGTGAAAAGCTTTGAGTGGTTTAGCGCTGCATATAAGAATAATTTACGGATTAATCTGCCGATGTGATTAATTGATTTATCCTTTGGTATATAAAAATGTCAGGAATAATGATTACCATCCCAATTACTAGGAAAGGTTATGTTTGGAAAATTGCTCTATTTCTGCAAACTGTCAAAGAAGAGCTATAAGCTGTCGTCACTAAATATTTGGTGCATGACTTATTTAACTTATTTAAAGGGGACCTATCATGCAAAATGCACTTTTGTACGTCTTTTATACATGAATATGTGTCCCCGGTGTTCCAGGGAACTCACCAAGTGTCAGAAAACACAACCCTCTCTATTTTCCTCCATACCCAAATCTCTAAAAAAGGGGCTGCAACGGATCTGATAAAAACTGATCCAGATTTGAACACTGTCCTGACGTCAGGACAGTGGCGCTACGGCTATTGGGCCAACTCCACCAATCAGGAGGAGACAGCCACGGCCATTGCCGTTCGAAAGCGCTGGAGACGCTGTAGTACATATGTCAGGCCTGTAGGTGGTGCTGTTCTCACTGAATCTGCCCTTGCAAAAACAGAGCTAGAAATTGTCAAATTGAGCAAAATGAGGCATGGCTAAAATGCATGATCTGTTTGGTATTTTGGAGGAAAAAAAAGTATAAATATGCCTTATATAGGTATGGTCCTACACTATATTATTCAAATATAGCATGATAGGTCCACTTTAACTTTAACATGCTAAAGGAAAAGATGCTTAACCTTATGGAAATATTTGCCTCTTTAAAACCACCAGACTCCATCGATTGATTGATGAATTTGTTAAACTCCACAGAAACTGAATAGAACTCTTTCAAAAAAGTCCTTGTAAGTCATCCCACTTTTAAACAATCACCAAATCCGGCTTGAGAGTTTGGAAGAAAGAATGAATAGTAACTCTGTTTGATAACAAACTAGTGTTTAATAACGCTATTTCCTGTGTGTTTGTGAGATAAACAAACACAGACAAGAGACACAAAATCACAAAGAAATACTTTTCTACTGGCGATGGCAATGGAATATGTTGCTATATTTTTAAAGAGTTTTTCCCGTGTTTATAAAACGTTATTAATGCTCAGATTTTTTTGGACGGAGACATTACATCAGAATTAGAATAGAGATGAAAGTGGCATCCACCTCATTTTTTATTCAGAATATTCCTTAAAATGTTAAACAATTCCTTTTTAAAAGTAGTGACTCCAGGAAAATAAAGGTTTAGCCTCTCCTCACCCAGCTGTTACACCAGAGAGGAGTCTATGGAGATCTGGATACAGCACACACACACACACTCACACTCACACTCACACTCACACTCACACTCACACTCACACTCACTCACAGAGACACTCACATACAGACACATACAGGAATTTAATGAGCTGGCTTGCTCCACAAAGAGAATCCGGGACATTAAATTGTCAGGCTCTACCGTGGACAGAAAGAGACTTTGCCTCCGGCTATTTTTATAACGCTTGGTAAGGATATAATTATAAGGCATTACATTTCCAGAGAAAAGGCTAACATGTCAATACAATTCACAGCATCACAGGGGGATGAAAACGCTCAGCAGATTAATTACAAGCTGTGGAGGAGTCTGTCGGGAGGTCGTCGCCCTCGTGCGTACGCTCTGACCCCCCCGTGCGTACGCTCTGACCCCCCCGTGCGTATACGCTCTGACCCCCCCCCCCCCCCGAACACACGTCCACACAGTGATGCCGTGTGGGATCTCACCGTGTGCTTTCATGTTGAATTGCAGCGCTGCCCTTTACTTGCCCCTTTTCTCTGCCAACGACTCACTTTAATGAGACGGAGGCCAACAGATCGTGTCAAGCTCTTTTTTTTATTATAGAAAGCTCTCCACATAAAGAACGCATCACATCACTTGGTAGCCATTTGACTTCCTTGAAGAGCTAGAGGGATAGTATTTCAAATGATCAATTAGTTGTGTGTTTTTTCCCAACACGTTTGACTTGCAGCCTGTTCTAACTAAAACAGAGAAAAGTTGGAAATGTCCACACTTGAGTGGCCGAAAAAGCACTCTCTGACCATGTTTTGCATGAAATTGTCTTTAAATATGTATTGTTAATCAAATTGCTACTGATTTATAAAGCATTATAAGCACCATTCTTGACAATTTGTTCTTCTACCAATATCGACTGTATATTAGCAATGCATCTCAAGGCTCTTTTATTAGTCATACGTACATAGCTACAGTGTAGTTATGACGATGAAAATGTTAGGTCACATCTGTACGTGATGACCTGTACTTACAACACTATATACGTTTTTCTTTGCTGTATATTGTTTACTTTCCTTCAGTGGACGATCTGAATACTTTTCCCTCCTTGCCTTGACTGGAGGATAGACGGTCTGTGTTCACCTGTCACTGACCTTCACCCTCCTCTTCTTCTCCTCCCTAGCAATTGCTGAGGGAGATGCAACAGATGGCTAGCCGGCCTTTCGCCACCATCAACGTTGCCTTGGAGACGGACGAGGAGCCACCTGACCTGATAGGAGGAAACGTCAAGGTGAGCACAACCTTTTTATTTTTTCATTTTTGAGTGATCACCGTGAAAACCCTTGAGGACTGATTGCTCGTCCTCTCTTCAGCTGGAGCTCAGTCTTGTGTCGGTTGACAGCCGTTTGTGATACAGTCCCTTATAGTGATAGATATTCCTCACTAGGGCTGAAACATTCATCAGATGTTTTACAAAATTGCAATATGAACTAGAACAACATTCAATCCAAAGACAAAATGGGTTAGTATTGTACTGCAGAGATGTTCCAGCCCACAAATGATATACTACAAAACTCAAAACAATCTTTGTTCTGTATAAATATTTTTGCAAAAGTCCAACCAGGATCATATTAGTGCAATATCAGTCAAAATGTACATAATGAGATTTTTTTTCCAAATCACTCAGCATTATTCCTTACACTAATTGTTTTACACCTGGTTGGATGAAGAATTGTTATCGTTAACTAGGGCTGTGCAATTAATCGTATTTTAATCGCAATTACGATTTTGGCCTGCCACAATTACAAAAACAACATAATCGAAAAAAACGATTATTTTGCTTTGCTAGGTTGTGACAGTGCACTGCAACATATTTGATCAAATGTATTTGTATTTATCATATTTATATATGTTTAGTAGCTTGTCGAAGTGCGCTCCAAAATATTTGTTGATCTTGTTTATTGGTATTTATTATTTTGATATTATTTATGTATCATTTATTTTTGTATTGGTTTTTCAGTTGAATTATACGTTCAGGGTAATCAACAGTTAAAAAGATACTGTTCAAATTATTATTTGTATTTGTTTTAAAGTTCAATAAATGGACGTTTTCAAAGTCAATGAATAATCGTATTTAATAATCGTGATATCAATTATTGACCAAAATAATCGTGATTATGATTTTTGCCATAATCGCACAGCCCTATCGTTAACTTCAGTAGAAGTAGTGTTATAAGTAAAGGACCTGCATTCAAAGTTTGACTAAAAGTAGAACAATATTTGCATCAAAATGTACTTAAAGTACCCAAAGTAAAATAACTCAACAACCCATTTCATAAAATAAAATAATATTTTATGAGATTATAATGATTGATGCATAGTATTTTATTCTATATTCTGCCAGGTAGCTTGTCAATTTCAGCAGAAATCAATAAATGTTTATCTTGAGCTATATCAATACATTATAACTTAATTTAGTTGATTATCTTTTGTATTATTAAAGTGACACCCTTATAGCCTACAACTGCTGATAGCTTGGTCTGTTCCGTAAAGACAAAAGTATACTACTTGATTATGCCTTTCACGGTTGAAGTTATACAAGCATTTTTACTAAATAAGAGCAGGAAACGTATGAAAAACGGGATAAGACCTCTGAGGGTTAACCTGATTCTCTAACATGACTAACACACTGAGATAAATGTAGTGGAAGAAAAAAGTGAAATACTTTCCTCTGAAATGCAGTGGAGTTGAGAGGATTTGAGAATACTAAGTAAAGTATCTCCAAATTGTACTGAAATACAGAACTTAAGTATAATAATAATAACTTGAATTTATATAGCGCCTTTCATAACCTCAAGGTCGCTTAAATGTACTTAGTCACTGTCCACTCCTGGTTTTCTCTTAATCATCTTGAGTCTTCTTCAAGGTGTTCATGTAACACACATGATGAGGGTCAATGCAGTGTACGTTAGCTGACAGAGTGAAGGCCGGTGATGATGAAAGTGGTCTGATGATGAGTAACACACTGCATTACAGCCAGTTATTGTGGGTAGACTGTGAATTCTAATGAGAATGAATTCAGTTAACCCTGGAGTTAAACACATGCAGATAAGACTTACATATTGTAGATCCAGCCTATACTTACAGTAGAAATGAGGTTTATTCTTCATTTGGAAAAATAAGTACTTATTCAACACCTACTCGCAGGAAATGGTTGCTGGCATGAAAAATGAAGGGAGTCTATTAAAGTCACGATTCATCTTAGGAAGCAGCCTTGTGTCGGTGCAGAGGACCATCTGTGTGTTTCAAACACTGATGGAGAAATTGAAGGTAGCAACTTCTGTCAATATGGATGTGTTGGAGCCAAGCCATTTCAAGATAGGAGTGCAACAAAGACGGTCTTCATTACATCTCTAAATATAGAATAGATCTTGGTCCTGCTGTTGGGCGTGCATTGTTTAGGTTTACGTTCTTAATGTAGATCCTGAAGTGAAGATTTAGTGGGAATTTTATTTAACCCGTCAGACCTGGCACAACCCCTCACTTTCCGACGTTTTAGCTTGACTACAACAAACTGTCTCTGTGGCAGTGAGGTTGTGCGGTCTTCTTCCAAGTTGCTCTGAATGGCTGAAGAGGTGAATGTGTGTGAGCAGGGGACACCTTGCATGGTAGCCTGCCTCTGTAACAATGGGAGTGAATGTGTGAATGATGTTTGTATATATAAAGCGCTTTGAGGAGTTGTAAAGACTGGATTAAGCACCATATAAATAAAATTGTTGGAGAAGCCTGTGACATAATATTTTCAACGACATAATTACTCTGTAGCTATGTTAGTTTGACAATAAAGAACCTTGAACCTTGAACTTGAACCCCTTAAGTCCATTTACCATTTTAAAATATTTAATTGGGCCAAATAATGTGTTTAATCAATTAATTACATTTGGTTGCTATTGTTTCATACTGTTGTTTGGTTTGCACTGCGAGATTTTTCTTGTGCTTCTTTGCTGAGGAATAATAAGTCATTTTCCATATATTAAAATCCCCATTAGTTACATTTAGAAATACCAAGCTTTAGATAACTTGTTCCTATGAAACCCCAAATGACATAACTCAGTGCAACTTATCAGACTTCATGTAGCCCTCTCCTTGGACCCAAACTACTTGTACCTACGCAGTTGTACTCCTTAAGACCTGTAAACAGACTTTGATGTGTGAATCTGGCAGAGTTCATAACATGACAAATGATTTAGCTGTGAGAATATGCTGATCTAACTCTTTCGATTTAGCCAAGGGCAGATCTTTAAGCAGATTTAGTCTCAAAATCACCAAGTAGATTTGAAAAGAGTTCAAGCACAGTGGTGTTGAAGTAGATGAAAACATACTGAACAGAATACCAGATTAAAAGAAGCCTGTTGAAGTAGTCGATTAAAAACATCAAGATTAAGCTGAGTTGGAGAAAGTGGTTGAGAAGTCTTTGCTGTAGAGAAGAGTTTGATGCACTCGCAGAATTAAAGCCGGCTGGGGCAGATTTAAATGCAGACATTGAGCACATTTAGAGCAGAAATAGTGCAGAGTTATAGGAACTGCAGCTGAGTATTTGGCGGGTGCGTAGCTGCAGGCCGGTATACCTGTGACTGTGCACTTTGTGATGAATGACCTCTGAATGCAGATGTAGTGCAGAATTATAGGGCTGTTTCAGCAGGGAGGCTGGGGGCCCTGGCTCTGACAGGGGCTATGCATCTCAGGGGCTCAGCTGCAAACACAAGGTTACTCCCAGAGGCCCCCAAGGGAAGATCAGAGCTAATCAAATCCAGCCCAAACCACCCCGCTTCTCAATTCTCCGCTCTATTCTTCCCTACTTCTTCTGTTTTTCATTTGTCCTTTTTTGTTCATGTCCTTGACTCGTTCTCTTTCCTGTTTCCTTCTATCGTGTCCTTTTTATTTTCTCTCTTTGCAATTCTTCTTTCCTTGTCTTGTTTTTAAGCTCTGTTCTTTTCCTCCTATGTTCTCTGCAATTCATCATATGTCCTTCCTTTTTCCAAACATGTCCTCTCCTTTCTCTCTGCCCTCCTATCCAGTTTTACCTTCTCATCTTTGTCACATATTGCTTTTCTTTGTATTATCATCCCTTTTCTTCTTCTTTGATCTTTCTCGCCTCTTCCATCTGCCATTCTCCTCGCTTGACTTTTTTTAGCATTGTGTTCTCAACGTGTTTCTCCCCTCACTCCACTTCTCCTGATGTGTCTTCCTTTTCTTCTCTTCTTCCCTGTTTGCTAACCCATTTTCATATATTTTTCTCCTTCTCCAAACAAAATGTTTTTCCATTTTCCATGTCTTTTCTTTTCTTAAATGTAAAAATCTTGTGTCCTTTTTTTACCTGCTTTGTTAAACCTTCCTATTATGTTAACTGCTTCCCCTCTTTGTATCTGTTCTCCTCCTCTCTCTGGTCACCTGTCTGTTATCCTTACTTTAGGATAGTGTTCTTTAATTTCCCGGCCCTTCACCGATCCTATCTGGAGTTTTCTGTTGGGCCTTATCTTCTGTGTGTGTGTGTGTGTGTGTGTGTGTGTGTTTGCGTGTGCACGTGGTGCTGCTGTGTAGAAAGGAAACATCCAACTTGTTGTGGAAATCAGACGCCCTCCTCCTCCGTCTGTGCTTTGCCTTTTTCTCCCCCCCCCACCGTGACTCTTTTCTTTTCTTCCATTCTTCCCGGCGTGCTCTCCTCCTCTCCATCAGGGCAGGAGCATCCCAAAAAGCAGAGATTCAATTTAGATATTCCTCCTCAGCTTTCTCTGCCTTTACCAGCTCCAGCGGTGAGCGCACTATCCTATCTCCTCCCGGCTCAGATTGAGCGACTCGGAACAGGTTCCTCCTTGTTTCCATGCTGTTTTATCAGGATGCTACAGTAGTGTATTAAGACCCTGCGATTGGAGTATACGGGGGGGCCGGGGCGTCGCACAGTGAGCTGAGGATCATTAAAGTTGTTTATAGCCTCGGTGGGAAGTCCAAACTTGCTCCGCCGATGAGATATATTCACTCGGCTTCTGCCAAATGGAGCTTGCGGCCCGGCATCACGGGCAGATGATTACCTTGCTGACGCCTTCTGCTCTGCTTTTATTTATAGATACCGTGGGACGGGAGGAAATCGGGACATTTACTGCAAAAAAAAATGAAAGGAAAAAGGGGTGCAGCAAAGAAACAGTTCTGGTTTATCTAACATGATTGTGTGCACCGTTATCTCCTATGCAGCTGTCTACCTCCACTCCTATATTGTATTAAATCATAAGCATT